GGGCTGGGCTGGGAGGGGAGGACAGCCCTGCACAGCCAGTCTGTGGCACCTTGTGGGGTGGTGTTCCTCAGCACCAGCGAGGCTCTAGGTGAGATTTGCTGCCTGCACAAGGTATTGTGGGGCTTAATAGTGTTCCCATGAGCTTCCTTGATGCTTGTCAGAGGTTTCTGCTGCGAGCAGGGAAGTTCTGGGATGTTCCCATCATCTTTCACTCACTGAGGTAGAAGGAGCTCAATTCTATGTGCCGAGTCCAGCCCGTGGTGCTGGCGGCTCAAGAACTGTCTGCATTGGCCTTCTAGATAGAACTGGAGAAAAGCCACTATTCGGACCATGAAATGCGCAAGCTGGAGGAGGAGGAGCTGCTCTGGAGGAGGAAGGAAAGCGCCTACGATGATGAAGTGCCCGGCAAAAGGATCATCATGGCTCAGGACCTGGAGGACAAGTGGGAACAGAAGTTGCTTCGATTCAAAGCTGCTCCGCGGGTAACAGGTACAGCCTGAAGCTCGTGGTGGAGTGAGAACACCCCGACTGCGTGCAGGCACAGCTGAAGGGAAAGCATTTGCTGAGTCCTTTTTGTTGTAAAGAGAGTCTCGACTCCGAGGCAGCACTGTTAGCACGTGAGGAATTAACTGGCTGACAATGAAATCAGTGTTCCCATGCTGCAAATATATGTGTGTGTTCAACCTTACCACAGGGGTAAAAATGGATATGTTGTTTCCAGACAGAAATGTTTAGTTGCTTGGTTCCCAAACTCTGCCTAGTGCTTATGTTGAGTTTTGTCAAGGTAGAGGTTCAGGCTTCTTGCTATAAATTCCTTCTGAAATTAAAACAGTGCAATCTAACAGTGGGTTCCAGCTGAATCCTGCAATTCTAGAGCATTTCTGTCTAGATCTGTGTCTTGTTCCGTGTGCCCATGTCTCTGTGTTACTGCTGGAAGGGTGTGAGATGCAGAGGGTTGATGAATCAGGGGGCTCAGAGCAGTGCTGCCAGCAGACTTTGTTCCCAGCATGTGTTGGTTTTTGGCAGATGCTGATAAAAGCAACAACCGAACGTCGTTGAACAGGAAGCTGGACAGAAACCTGATGTTTCTGGTGAAACAGAAAATTGGCAACCAGGAGCT